AGTTTTAAAAATTACCCCCGACGAGTTACTTTAATTTATGTATTTTTTTATAGGCTAAGCGCAAAAGACTTACCAAGGAGGCGAGTCAAGCGGACTCGCAGACCATCTTGAAGGAGATGTCGCTCAATGAGCGAGCAGCGAAGACGACCTTCGGTGATCCTTCGTCGGCTGCGGCAGCGGCGTACCAGTCTATCCAGCAGCCGAGCACATCGAGGCAATCGTTCTTGCGCACACCATCACCAGTAGCTTCACTGACGCATTACTCTTCTTCGGTATCTCCAGCTCGCCCGACATCTCCCACACACCCTCGCTTGTCGGCTGACAGCCCGTTCCTTGACGGCATGGTTTCGCCGATCCGCTCGCCAACGCCACCGGACCTCGATCGACAGCAACAGCAGCTACCACAGCAACAGCAACAGCAGCAGCAAGAACAGGGAAGACAACGTGGGCCGCAGCAGCAGCAGCGGCGGCAGCAGCAAGAACGCGAGCGTATCCCGGCTGACAACGAGAACAACAAGAACAACGACGAAGAGCACCTCCATGTCGCCGCAAGAGTCCACGGACACAGGAGACGTCGCCGAGGTACGTATTTGATAATAAACAATGTTTTTTTCATTTTCTGTTTGTTTGATTAGGGGTTTACTTTAAATTGTTTTCTAGCTGCCGACCCGAACAGCTACAGTACGCGCATGATGCGTATTATGGAGACCGCTCTGCAGAGCCACCTTAAATTGGAAGAAATTTTCGAAGGGCAGCAGAGAACGCGAGGGTCAGCGCAAGCAGATGGAAAAGTAAGTCTATATCTCACGTTATGTTTAGGTTTTATAAATTTTGCGAGTGAACGTAATTCCTATCTGTTTTTTTCTTCTCTAGGTATACTTGGGCTTAGGAATTCACATCGGCCAGCAAGCCTACAACATCAATCGGGCAAGGAAAACAAATTTATATTTGAATTTCCTCATCAGCTGCATATGGCCTGAGGATGTGTTGTCCACGAGCTGCCTGTGCCGCAGCAGACTGAAAAATCTCCAGCACGAAGGTCGACCAATTCATGAATTCGTCGAGGTTGAGCTGCAGCTGTTGTATTGTAAGTAGTAAGAAGCAAATTTTTATGATGGAATAACCATCAGACATTATAAAGTAATATTCTGAATGATTAATTTTTTCTACTTACTTACAGCTCTCTACAACGACTTCCTGAGTGAGGTTCATCCGGACATCGATCGGCACATCGCGCTACAACGCGTTTCAAAAACGCTTGGAGAAAGGTGTCGCGACAGCCGACTTCGGCAGTAGATATTGCTTCTGTCGACTTATTTTCCGGGTAGTCGACTTATTTTGATAAATGATTGTATCGTCGTCTGTGATCATTTTCAAGCTCGCTGTGACCATTCTTTTTTTTTAATAATGTATATATATATATATATATTTTTTTTATTTTAAGTCTGCGTCAAAATATTGTACAGCGTATGGAAAAATCCGTTGACGTTGTTAGCCAAAAAGGCTATTTTTTGTAGGAATTTTTTTTTAATTTCTTGTGAAGTAAGCTCGCAACTTGTTACTTCATTCAAATATGTAGGTTATTTTATTCAGGATCTCTAGAGCATACTATTTTTTCCCTCTTAAACGCTAAGATTGTAAATTTTTTTTAAAAACTGACTTATACTCCGTAACACTTGTATTTTCAAGTAATGTGTATTTTTGTCAAATTTCACGATTATACTCAATAAATATTTATCAACATCATTGTAATTCTTTTTCAAATACAAAGAAAACAAAAGAAATATTTTTCACGTGATTTAAAAAAAATAATTTTTTTATGTCGTTTTCTGAGATCTCCAAATAGATCTCACGTTACTCGCCAGCTTAAAAAAAATTTTTTTGGGAACTGAGATCTCTGCACAAATCTCTTATAGGATTCACCTGATGAGATCGCAATTCGAATCTCCACTGTGATTCCAACTGAGATCTCAGAGAATGCTCTATTTCGAATAGTTTTTCGAGCTGAGATCTCAGTTGGAATCGCAGACGAGATCTCGCTTCGGGTTCGCATCTGAGATATTAGAATACTCCTCAGATGAGATACTGCTATGTGAACTGAGATCTCAACTGAGATCTCGGCCGACATCTTATCTGGAATCCCATATGGCGATTTTCGGTAGGGTACGCTATATGTAATTATATAAATATAGAAGATGCCTTTCAAGAGTGCCAAAAAATATAGAAAATTGTGAACATCCAAACAAGAGAAATAGCTATTCCTACAAAAAATATATCCAAAATTGCTGTCTGTGTTAATACACCATTGGGTCAATACATTTCTGCCGTAACGAATATTTTACATTATTGATTTTCAATTTTTGTTACATATTTTGTTCGAATTTTACGAATGCTATTGTTATTTTCAGCAACATCCTGAAATTAGCTACTTTCACCGTATCTTATCACGATCATGTATGTGTTACAAAACTTGAAAAATATTGATTGAAATTGTTCATAATTGTATGTAGCTCATAATTGTATATAATTGAAACTGTTTGTAGTTCTAATTTTTCATCGCCGCATAGTTCTAATTACTGTTTATTAATAGATTGTAAAAAGATACTGAAAACTTATCACAATATGTATACTTAGCTAATATTAACGTAATATTATACTAGTTGAAAAAGAAATTCAAGATTATTACAACTAATTCTATTTCAAAGTAAAAAAATAATGTTAGTTTTGATGAAAAATATGTTTTCAGTGCGACTTCTTAATCATTTTATTAGATATGTATTTTCATTATTTTAACAATCATTTTAACTTTGTTGAAAAACTCAAATAGAAAACGAACCTGCAATCACATGTCTTGCATCAAATTCTAGTTGTGGAATTAAAACAGATCATACTTTTGCCATTTATATTGTGTCGAGAATGGAATGGAATCCTAGTGAAAAAAAAAAATTGAAAAAAAAATTTTTGCGAGATAGTACGTGAGACTGAATAAGGCATTCATATTCACTTTTTCTTACTGTTGCGATTAGAGTAAACATTGCATAACTTTTAATAATAATATCGTTTATGTTAAATGACGACGACTGTTCATCTTATCATTGTTAGCGATGTAGGACATGTTTTTACAGACATGCAAAATTTATCACAATATATGTACAACTTAACATAAGTAAAATAAATAAAATATGACTAGTGTTGTTGATTATGAAATATTCATTCTATTATTTTGACACTATCTTATCGATATAAAAAAAAAATTAAAATTTACAATTAAATTATTTTTTTTCTAAAATTTGTATTAATCCGTGCGAAATCCGTACATTTTTCGTATGTTTTCCGTGCGTTTTCCGTACGGAAACCGTACGGAATCCGTACGGAAAACGCACGAAAAACGTACGGTTTTTTTCGGACAAACACCGTACGGAATCCGTGCGTAAAACGCACGGAAGACGTACGGATTATGTAGGGAAATCCGTACGGTTTCCGTACTTATATTTCTGACGGGGAATAAACCTTTTCCTTATTGGTGTCATCTTCGAGCGTCCGCAAAACAAAGGTAAGCTGGCCAGCTTAATCTCGCGATCGTGGTTGCATGTATAACAATTAATTTCTCGTGTTCGAAGCGTGCATGCAATAGCTCTGTTAACAAAGAGCAGCGAGCGTCCCGTCACTGTGTGTCCTCGATGAGCGAGCGCCGATGTCAACATAAACACGCGGGCCGATCCAGTGTAATATTTGATAGACAATAAAAGATTCTGATCGTGTTATTAACAAGTGCTTTCGACTCGCTTATTCCATATTGCTTCCACTCATTTTAGTAGATTGGTTGACTCACACCTGTTTCCCCATGCTCTCCGGATTATGTATTGAGCGTAGATGATTACATTCTCCCTTCAATAAACTCGCGCGAATAAAAATAATTAAACGGTAAGAAACCCCGTTACACCATATACTAGATAATATTAAAGTAAACATTAAATAAAATACTGTACGTTTATCAATTATTTTATTTCGTGTTCTTCCATAATTATATAAAATATAGCACTTTTAATAATTTTTAAAATTTTACTTATATATTCAGTAAATAATTTATTTATAGTATATCTAGTTGTGTTATATAATTTTAAATATTTTCTATAATAATTCTAAAAGTAATTGGATAGTATTTTATAAAATAATTCTTGTGAAATGGATATAATCTTTTAAAATTATTTCAGTGAATCAATTCTGTATTAATTTTACGCCAGCTTTTTATTACTTAAGTATCATTTTGAAAATTAATTTTGAAACAATTCAAAACATTCTTACTGTAATGATTTCAAAATTATTATGATAATATTTCATAAAATAATTCTTCTAAAATGCATGTAATATTTGAAAATTATTTCAGTGAATCAATTCTGTATTTATTTTATGTCCGCTTTTTATTTCTTCAATATCATTTTAAAAATTAATTTTGAAACAATTCAAAATATTCTAACTGTAATAATTTCAAAACTATTACGTTAATATTTCATAAAATAATTCTTCTAAAATGCATGTAATATTTGAAAATTATTTTAGTCAATTAATGTAGTAATAATATTCGTTATATTTCTGAAGGAAAAAAAACGGACATAAAATTAATACAGAATTAATTCATTGAATTAATTCTAAAATAATTATATTATTTCATGAATTAATTTTGAATTATTTTAGAATTAATTCATGCTGTGTGGGATAAGTTTTAGCTCTCTTTTATGAATGGAAACATCGACCAAACAAAAAGTTCAATACAAATTTATGCGATTTAGTTCTATCTAAAATTAAATTTAATCTGTGTAAAATTTTTAAGATTGTATATATAAATTTTAGGAAACACGTAAAAAATTTGAATGTGGGATTCGTATGAAAACTATATAGAAACCGCATGGATTTTTTGAAGAGAAAAACTACGATAACCATTCGAAAAACATATCATTATCGTACATTTTTCGTAGGACTTTCTTATGACGATCCGTAAGGTTTCAATACGATACCCGTATGATTTTCTTATCACATATGTAATTATTATTATTTTATAATAAATTCAATTGCAATAGTTATTTTTTCACTTTTACTAAAATAAGTGTAATCTAGGTGTATTAACTATCGTTAAATTAGTCTTTGTATTACAGTTCAAGTTCACTGTTCATGAAGGTTTGTTAAAATTTTCTTTTATAAATTAACTCCATTGTAATAAAAAAAACTCAAATAAAAGATTAATTTTAAGTTGTCTTAAATTATATATATACATTGCAAATTTCTGAGAAACGATTCAAATAATATTTATATTTATGAATATTTTATAAGTTGCTTACATTGCTCATAAATTACACCTTAATATAAAATTAATCCATTATTCATTATATTTTTATATGTTCATATTATTTATACAGTTATCAAGTTCATAAAATTAATGATAGTTTTTGTGACAGCAACTCAAAGTTTGAGCTATTAATATCTGTACTTTAGCTTAGCGCATAAGAAGAATGACTACGTAAAATGTATAACTAAATTAATCAAAAATGATTTAGAATGCTTAAATAAAAAACTGTTATTATCATATCTAGTCTAAGAGAATTTGTTGCCTCCGTAACTAAAATCCGTAACTACAATTTTATATTTAATAATTTTTTTGAAAGATGATAATCGTACGAAATAAATGAAAAACAATGTATAGAATATTATCTTTTCAGTATAAAATCGAGATAAAAAACAGATAGGATACCCATATACAACCAATACTCAAATTCTGCAAGATTTTCATATGCGAATTCCAGAGACTCCATCATGTAATCGATATCGCTATGTAGAAACCTAAAAAAACTCAAGAGAACCATTAATGTCCCCGCGAAGGTTGATTCGATCCACCTCATTTGAAATTGAAAGTGCTGTCTGCAAATCTGGCAACATAGCATGAATTAAAATTTTTCTTTTGCTACATAGGCATGTAATTTTAACCAAATTTTAAACTACTAAATATTGCATTATGTGATGAATTGCATGCAAACAGATAAAAATAACAGAAAAAATATACATATATATATGTAATGAATAAGTAAAATGTTATATTCAATTGGAAATCATCGAATGTCAGCAGCATTTAATTTAGATAAGTATTATTTTACCTATTTTATTTTAAGTTATATGGACAATATGAATTTTTGTGTTTCTTTTCAGGATCTTATATAAGGATTTAGTCTGGGTGTAAGGATTACCTGAGGATTCTATATAAAGTCCCATATGAATGCCTCTAGAATACACTGTATCCAAACAAACCAAATACCAGGATTTGATGTTTGAAAGAATCGAGTTGACATGAAAAATACTCATGAAAAGGCTGTGTCAACTTAGTTTCAATGAACTTATTAATCTAGCATTAATTACAGCAACCAAATAAAAATTTGTATAGATACAGTTGTCACAGTCTTAGTATTCTCATCTGTACTTATACGTACTCATTTGTATTCATACAAATATTCTTTGATATCTATAAATAATGCTTGATTAATAAGTCCATGGAAACCAAGATCTGGGCACAATTTGATGATGAACATAGTTTGATACTATGCTTTAGAGAGAATACAAATATTACTTATGGACAGGCTGTATCAAGCCTCTCAAGATTGGTTTCAATGGACTTGTTAGTCAAGCATCAGTCACAACTATCAAAGAAGATTTGTACATACACTATTATCTCAGTTGAATTTTAAAATACAAATGTATGCCTAGGCCATTTTTCTACATACTTATTCTATTTTGTCATATAGATTGCAAAATATAATAAGTATATAGTGAGGATTGGAAGCAATTGCATTTTAATATATATCAGTGTCTTTCAGACAATTACAAATAATACAGTGACAATTGCAGATATTTTTTGATAACTCTGACTGATGTTTGATTAACAAGTCTATTAAAATCAAGCTTGTATAGCTTTATAGTTAGTAGATTTTGAATTGATGGCCTTGTACTGTATATAAAAATACTTATAACAAAGTTGTGTTCCAACACTTCGCTTTGACAGATTTGTTATATTGAGCATTAATTACAACTATACAAAAATGTTTATGGACATATACTATTGCCACTGTCTCCATTGAGATACGTAGGAAAACAATTGCTGTTCTAAGATGCACTTTTACAATCCACATAAATATTCTATCATAGTTGTGATTGAAGATCTATTAACAAGTTTATTGAAACCAAGTGTTTCACAAAGCTTCTTTGTAAGTATATTCATCGCATCTTGTTCAAAGCCATGTGTTGTCAAATTATATACTTATTATCAAGTTGTGTCCAACACTTTATTTCAATGGAATTATTAATCGATCATTAATATTACAGCTATTAAAGAATATTAGTATGGATACAGTTTACACTGTCTCATTTGAAATAATTGTTTATGTCTACATGTTAAAAGTAGTATATATTTAATTCATATCACAACTAAGACAGTAAACTGTATCTATACAAATTTTATTTGATTGTTATAATTAATGCTTGATTAATATAAGTCTACTGAAATTAACTTGACATAGCTTCTTCATAAGAATTTGTCAACTACATTCCTTCAGACATCAAATTATGGTATTAGGCCGGTTAAAAAATTCCAAGCTGAATTTCCACATGGATATTAAAGTGGAATCAAGGTGGATTTTCATTATTTATAATAGCTTCTTTTATGAAATTAATATTTTAAATAACTTTATAATCTTCTAAAATATTAATATTAATGAAAAAAATAATTAAGGATTCGAGCGTGGCTTGAACGCGAGACGTCCTACTCTTCAGCTTCATTCTTTACCGTCAGAACTATTTTCTCAACTTAGTTATTTCCATAATATACTCCTATATTTATACTCTTTGGCAATCAAATCTATACAAACGATTTAAATTTTACTGTTAAAATTAAAAGAAATATAGGTTCCGAAGTTACGGACAAAGTTCCCGTTCTTGATAATATTTAATTAATGCTTGATTGAAAACAAATTGATATTTATTAATTGAAATCAATTTGAAACCAATTCTTCCGGAGTGCATATTCAATTGGAATCCACTCTGATCAGAATTAAACACATTATGAATTCCAATTATTTCTATGCCTGCTTTGACATCAGTAATAAAGACATCTGCTTTAGTCATTAGTTCTGAATTACTTTCTAGTATTTTCTTAGTTACAAACTTATTTACATTCCAAGATACTATTCTATGAGGTGCCTTGAATTTCAAAACCCAATTTTTTAAAGTCTTTGAGTATGTAATGCCTATCGACGTATTTCTCGATTATAAGTAATGTAGTCAGCGTTTACTGTTGCTTTAAAATTATCAAGAGTGTACTGACAAATTGTTGCAATTTTCTCTCTATAAGTACCACCTTTATTAAACGTGTAAGCCCAACGATGTCACTGACTTAAAGACCTAACTTTTCTAAGTTTGAAGTACACTTTCAATACTTAAATTTTTTTTTACTACTTCTCTAGTATTTTACAGTTCTTTACTTGTATTCAAAAGTAATATCTTCAATTTCTTCTGTACAGTGGTCTGTAGGTGCTTCGAAAAGGTCAGGAGTGTAGTGTTAAACTTCATTCTCTACTATTTTTGAATAGATATACACTTAACATATACAGTTAAATACACTTCTTAAAAATCCAATGTATCTTCAACGGTTATATCAACCTCATTGCAATCATTGATTGAATCTAATGAAATGCTTTCAATTCCTTCGGCGTATTCAGTTTCTTCATAATTTGTCTTGCTTTCAGGTATGTGTATAGTTTGGAAATAAGCTAAATCAATTCAAGACGTTTAGAGGGTTAATTTTCATTTTTTAATCTGAAATAAAAAATTTAATAAAATACGTGTAATTTAACAACACTAGTGTTATTTAGCGCGCTTCGCGCGCTTTTTTTAATATGTTTTACTATTATTTATTACATTATTTGAACCTTTTACATGTCAACTTCAAGATTTCAATGGACACGAATAAGTCATACTGTTTAAAATAGACTACATACGTCAATATTTATTGATGAATAAAAATAGAACATGCATCCATTATTTCTCAAAAATCGATGGTTTTACTCATTTCAAGATATATCGGAAAAATTATTCAAAAGATTAATTCAACCTAAGATCGATAATGCTATTATACTATTATACTATTATACAACACTAAACTTACATATTCAATAGTAGTGATTATGACTTCAATCTTATATTAGTATGAGTTATACATTTAACATCGTGTACTTTTTGCTGCCACTATGAAAACACCCGTGAATATTCTTCTAATTTAACGGGTTTAATATTTTGATAATTAATTTCCTTTGTTCGCATACGTCTTAATTTAAAATATAAAAAAAAATAAATATGTAGTCTCTATTTTATTTTTATTCATTCTCTTTTTCTTTCTACCAAATTTTAACACACCGATATTGATAGTATAGTATCAGAGATGGTTATAAAATTAACAATTTGTACAAATAATTTCAAAACATAACGTATTATGTTCTTAAACCAATTATTATTATTATTATTATTATTATTATTAACCAGAGTATAGTACAAAATATTACAACAAGTAGTAATAATTATACAATTTTACAATTACAAATTTGTAACCCGGCAGAGGATAAACCTGTTCGCTGGTCTGGTATTTTAAAACTACTAAACACTGAAAGAAAATTAAGAAAAAAATAAAAAAAAACAAAAAACTTAAAACTAAGAGTCGGTTTGTAATAGATTATAATATTTCACAGATGAAGTATGGCTTAATATTGGTAGCAAGAATGCTTCCTATAAAAGCTTACTTTACCAATTATCTTCGATTTTGTTCTGCTATCTCCAATATCTAATTAACATTTGTCTGGCCGTTACGATTGTCGTCATTGATGCTTACATTTTTCTTGCATATGATATTCTTTCGTATGTATTTAGTCTAACAGGACAAGTAAGTCCTGTAGCACACATGACTCTATAGTGAGGGAACATTTCAGTATGTTGTCTATGTGAATCACATTTACATGTTGCTGTGAATACTATGTCATCTAAGACTATCAAATCTTTATATTTAGGTTGTTGCTCAAGTGAGTACAATGAATTAGTGAAAGTTTGATATCCTCTGATACCTCTATAAAAATATAATAATGCTTTATTGTTTCCAAGATAATTGATGTCTCCATAGGTCATTCGAATATTATTTGTTTGTAGAATCGGTTTTCCTGGTGTATTTTTTGGTTTACTTGTTTCTATTTGCATACTATTATTGTCTGCAATGTCATCTATTTGTTTAAATACTGTTTCTATGGGTTTATATCTTACTTTATCTGTATTTGGTTCTTTGTGATCTTCTTTGTTTTCTTCTTTTATGAAATGTATATGTTTTTTACCAATTAATTGTTTGTATGTGCAATACTCACATTTATTAATGAAATTTATGTTGGTTGTATCTGTTTTTGTTTGAATGTAAGTTTCTTTTCTTTTTCCCTCTTTAAGTCCGTTTTTTGTTTTGGTATTAATAGTTATCCGTTGTGAGTTCCAAGCTATGTTAATCACATTAGCAATTGTTTCTATTATTTTTCTGTAGTTATCTGATACATTAATTTTTTTCATGTTATATTCAGACATTCGACGATGAGAACGATTGTAATGAAGTGTACAAGTGCCTTGTGAACACAAATATGTCCTTACATCCAAGAGAAACTTATCCCTATCCACATCCACATGGACTTCCAATGCTGAATGTAGACTATTATCAAAGTTCCCTTGTTGCTTTAGTTTGTAATATATTTGTTGTAAATTGTTGCAATGTATTTTGTGGTTCATTGTATTTCTGTATCTAGAATGGTTGGCCTTTTATCCATTTTTTTATTTTGTCCTTTATTGTTTTTGTATTGCCATTTAAAGTTTTGAGGTGAGAAGGTAGTTGATTGAAGGTGGCTAAAGCTCTTGTATAGCTATCTTTAATGCTGATTGTTAATTTTCTTTTAAGGGGCTGTATAGTTTTTTTCCTTGTTACGGAATTTTTCTTCAGGAACATATCTTGCAGGTTGTCATAGTGATACACTAGAGATTCCATGGTGAATGTTTGATCTATGTTTAGTGGATTTTTTTCATTTATAAACTTGTTTTTATTTATTATTTGTAATATGTTTAGTGGATTTTTTTCATTTATAAACTTGTTTTTATTTATTATTTGTAATGGTCGTGTTTGTAGAGTTTGTATATATTTGAGTCTTCCAATGTATGCTCCACTCCATGCTATAATACCGTATGTTGTTATGCTATGGAAAAGTGCATAGTAAATCATACGTAGATTATCTGTGCTCATTATCCTAGATAATTTGTAGAAAATATAAGTTAGATATTTTAGTCTATTGTATAGCATGTTTGTATGCATGTCCCATCTCATATGGCTATCGAAATGCACTCCAAGGTATTTAGTGTTATCAACTTTTCGAATGGATGCACCCTTTATATTTATATGTAGATATGTTGAGTTGCTATTGCAGTTATTTCCAAATGCCATGTATACTGTTTTGTCAATGTTTAATGACAGTTTATTCAATGCTAGTCAAATGGATAGTTTGTTTAAGTAGAAGTTCATATTTCTTTCGACTTCATGCCATGTTTCGCCTTTCACGATAATTACCGTGTCATCAGCAAAAGCCAACACATTATCATTTGGTAGCAATAATAACATCTCATTAATGTAGATTATGAAAAATAAAGGTCCCAATATTGTACCTTGTGGTACACCAATGTTGACGTGTTGATATTGACTATATTCACCATTAATTTTAACTCTTTGTTTCCTATTTCTTATTTACTAACATATTTCCATTCTTGCAGTTTATTATCCATGTTAATTATTCATAAATTGAATTTATCGCTAAAATAGAAATTTTACACTCTTTGATATATAATAATTATAATATTTCAATGTATAGGAAAATTCAAAATTTCGCGTTTATATTTTTGCATCAACAAATCTCAACGCTGGATGTCAGCGACTCATCTTTTTTTAAAGATAAGATAGAAATAAAATATGTAAAAAGTATAAATATAAAAAATAAAAATAAATATAAGGCAAGGATGAGGGTAGGATAGAACCATCAGCTGCGCCTAACAATTTAATTTTGTTTCTTTTTTAACGTATTGGTTCATGGTATCAAGCTTTCCATAGGATTTCTCCATATCAACAGATATATTATTTTAATTTAACTGTTTATTCCATTGTTCATATGAAACCATTCGGAGAGTTTATTTACATTTATAAAGTAAATTTCAAAATTTATTTACAATAAATTAACGGTGTCGACTGCACCGAAATAAATTAGCAGAATTTCATGTAAAATATCAATTTACCATTCTTCTCAATATTAATCATATTTATCCGAAGCTAAACTTTACTATAAAGATATATTCAATTAATTTATATGTCCAATAAATAAATGCAATTGAAGTGCATTAAGATTACTTTATCGTATTTTTTTAAGGTTAGGCCATTGAGAGAATGTGGAAGTTGTAAGGGGTGAGGAGCAGCAGAAATGATTATTTATAATTTTCATTGGTTTATTTATTATTTAACAATAGACCAGCATAAAAAACCCGGTATTGAACGGGAAAAAGCTAGTTTACAAAAAATTGA